AAAAGAACTGCTATACATTTTGTTTGGTAAAATAAAAATGATGATGATGATGATGATGATGATTATTATTATATAAAATACTCTTTTTATATTTTACAGTGCTATAGTAATACTATAATAATAATAATAATAATAATGATTTCTATATTGGTGTATTTTTTTATAATTTAAGTAAATAATAATAATAATTAGTAAATTTTAGTTGTTTAGTAAATTATTATTATTATCATTTTATCAAATTATACAAATTCAAAAATATATTATTAATATTAAATACTCTGTTTTTATTATTTTACAATGCAGTACTATTACTATAATATAATCATTTATTTGTTTAATTATTATCTTTTCCTTTTATTATTATTATTATTATTATTATTATTATAAGCATGCCCCATGAGTGGGTTTGCAACTTTGTCACCTTTTGCACCCTGATGAGTTTGCATCCCTGTTTTTAATTTCAATTTAATTAGTGATAAAATCTGTTGTGAGTGATTGGCAAAACTTTAATCGTAACTGTTAATATAAAATCTTTATTGATTAATCAAAAGTGTGTGGGTGACAAACACAATCTAAAATGTAGGACGTGACGTGTGGCCCATACTTGGAATTTGTGCTCTGCATTTATCCCATCCAAGTGCACACACAGCAGTGAGTAGTGAACAAACACACACACACCGTGAACACACACCTGGAGTAGTGGGCAGCTAATGATTTTGTGTTTGTGTCCATAGGTTTGTCTCAGTACCGCGAGCAGCGCATTAAGATTCCCTCCACCCCTCGTTACGCGCGATCCGCTCACCTGATAGAGGGAGGTGCTGATCTCTCTGATTTACATCATACTTCCTGTGCTGTTACATGAGTGATGGATGTACCAATAATTATACAAATTGTGTGTTTCAGGATCTCTGTCTCATTCGGACTGCAGCAGCCCCAGTCTGGTAACTCCGCCCCTCTCTCCTCTGGACGCCGCCTCCTTCAGCAGCAGCCAATCACAGGGCTCCGTCTCCGCCCAGACCAGGCTGTCAGTCAGTCCTGTGCCAATAGACAGGAGGAGGGACAGGTAGAAATAGACATATCAAAATGTAACCCTGTCATCATTTACTCGCCCTCATAATGGTCCAAACCTGTGCTAATATTTTTCCAAAAAAAAATCCGCTCCTCACTCCATTCAAAATCACACCGCTCCGCTCACATACTCTGGTACACACACACACACACACACACTCTCTGATGAATCACGTCTGTTCTGATGCGAGACGCTGCCTCTCTCTGTTCTCGAGTGCAGTCCGCAGCACCAGGGCCGATGGAGTGTGGATCTCAACCACAAGCGCTCCGCTGAGCTCTTCGACGGCTCCCGCGGTTCGGTTCAGCACAACACCAACTCCCTGCCCTCCAGCGCCAGACAGGGTCTGTATCCCAAACGCCACACGCACTAGCACTGCTCATCTCATATTTGGTGATGGTCTGTAGTCAGCATAACATGTGCACTGATATAATTGCCACTTGTCAACAGTAGAGAAACTTTAACTCCTTGTGTTTTTACACCAAAATAGAAGCTCTGTGGTTTAATGTTGAACCAATAGAGACATTTATTATTATTACTGATATTATTATTATTACTGATATTATTATAAGCATGTACCTGAGTGGGTTCGCAACTTTGTCTTTTGAACCCTGACGAGTTTTCATCCCTGTTTTTAGTTTCCGTTTATTTAATGACAAAATCTGTTGTGAGTGATTGGTAAAACTGTCTAATCATAACTGCTAAGATAAAATCTTTTTGATTAATGAAAAGTCTGTGATTGACACTCGCGGTCTAATAAATGCAATCTGTGATTGTTATCTCAAGTCTGTAGTCAGTAATTGTGGATGAATCTGAAGTCTGTCACTTGTGATTGATAATGATTGTGTTTGTGTCTGTAGGTTTGTCTCAGTACCGCGAGCAGCGCATTAAGATTCCCTCCACCCCTCGTTACGCGCGATCCGCTCACGGCTCTGATAGAGGTGCTGATCTCTCTGATTTACATCATACTTCCTGTGCTGTTACATGAGTGATGGATGTACCAATAATTATACAAATTGTGTGTTTCAGGATCTCTGTCTCATTCGGACTGCAGCAGCCCCAGTCTGGTAACTCCGCCCCTCTCTCCTCTGGACGCCGCCTCCTTCAGCAGCAGCCAATCACAGGGCTCCGTCTCCACCCAGACCAGGCTGTCAGTCAGTCCTGTGCCAATAGACAGGAGGAGGGACAGGTAGAAATAGACATATCAAAATGTAACCCTGTCATCATTTACTCGCCCTCATAATGGTCCAAACCTGTGCTAATATTTTTCCATACAACACAGAGAAGAGGAAGAATCTTACAAAAAAAATACAAGAAGATTTTCAGACTTGTGCATTCCAAGTCTTCTGAAGTCATATGATGCTTTATGTGAGAAACAGACTCCGATTCATAACCATTTACTGAAGCTCTGAAATCAAATATGGCACGTTTTGAGTTTGACGTTCGAAACATAATCACATGGGTTTATAATAACATGAGGCTGAGTAAATATGCATTTGTCTTCATCTTGCATTCAGTAGTTTGTGCTGTTCTCGTCCTCCTCTTCTTCCTCTCGTAGTTTATTTAGCTCAGATCTGCCTGACTCCTTATTCGCCGTTCTAGTCTGTCTGCTCTTCTGCCCCATTTCTCTCTCTGTTCTCCTTCCTGCTCCAGATGCTCGTTGCGTAACAGGTCTTACCTGAAGCTTTCTCGAGCTCAGAGATCGTGGTTTGCCTCTTTACGGACCCTGAGGTTTGTTCACTGTGCAATGAGAGCAAAAAAACAAACTTTTTCCTGTTTAAGGGAATTTCTTTGATCTGATTGCTTTCCCCCCCTGTTTTTATGTCATGTCACTTTCCTTTAAATGCACGCTATTGAAGTGTGACCAGCTGTTATTTACCACCAAAGGTAGCTTAGGGCTGCATCAACTGTTCAATGATATGTATAATCATCAATAATCAATAATAATGAAAATAATCATCCAGTATTCCTATATTATGAATAAATTGAATTTATATGTAGAAAGCGTCTGTGACATGCTGTTATTTAAAGTGTTTGGGCTTACGCATTACAAGTAACAAGAGTTACGTAATCAGATTACTTTTTTAAAGTAACTAGTAAAGTAACGCATTACTTTTTAATTTAGAAGGAAATATCTGAGTTACTTTTTCAAATAAGTAGCTCCAGTTACTTTGTTTCGCATGTATTGACTGACAGCTCAACCTTTGATCCAATTCAGCCATACTAATAAGCAAAAATGACACATTTGTGTTTCATTTTAGTTATTGCTGAATAGTGTTGAACTTTCTTCTCATGCGTCATATTTTTTATGCAATTTGTTTGCATTTGTTGCACCCTCTACTGTACAGACATGAATTTACATTTCCTTCAGCCTGAGGCGTATTCACTTCACTTTTGGTGTGAAAGGGCTTTTACATTTGTAAAATAACTTTTTTATATTAAAAACAAACACGCAAGCCCTGCCCAGATTTAAAAAGTAACTCAAATGTAACGTAACACATTACTTTCCATAAAAAGTAACTAAGGTAATTAGTTACTTTTTTAGGGAGTAATGCAATATTGTAATGCATTACTTTTAAAAGTAACTTCCCCCAACACTGGTTATTTATCACTGAAATATTTAAATTATAATTTCTTTCATTGTAATTGATTGACTATCAATTATTTGCAACATATACACCAATTATCATGTCACTTTACACTCCTGAATAACGCATTTCTGTGTACGAAGCTGAAATTTTGAGGACACAGATGGTGCATAAACCAAGTTGTCAGAAGACATATTAAAATGCTACATATAAAATAAGTAATTGTATTTTATGAGCGCATAAATAGTAACTAAATAGGGATTATTGTAATGGAGTACAGGTTTACATTTAGTCTGTGCTTTTGTTTTTATCTGTTTTTTTTATTTTGTGATTTTATCTTTAAAACTGTGCCAAGCAGCTTTTTTTTTTTTTTTTTTTGGTAATGTAATGTTTATATTTTAACACTTTTTGCACAATGTATAGCATTAGCTTTTATTATTTTCTTTATGTTGTTTGTACAACTCTTATATTTTTGTATCTGTGTGTAATCACACACACTAATCAACAGATTAACAAATTCTACCAGCTTAAGTTAAATATTTCCATTTACACTTACATTTTATCCACTTGACAGATGTTTTTAATTGCTTTGAACTGAAGTCTGTGACTTTTTACAAACTGAGCGATGAGTGAAAATGGTTTTCTTTGCTGTCTGTCAGAATGTCACAGATAATATCTATAAAGCCTTAATCTGAAATATTTTGATACATTATACAATAGATGAACACGAATCTGTTATTCTGTAAATAACTGAAAATGGCAGTAAATGCATGTGTGAGCGATTGTGATAGTTTGGTTCTGTTTTGTTCCTCTGAGACTGGTTGCCCATATTGTGTGTTTTTGCGTTTTAGGCCGTACATAGAGGAGCCGCGATGTGTCACTATTCCCAAAGGGGCGGAGCCTCTGGGCATCTCTATAGTGGGTGGGGAGAATGGCGGCATCTTTGTTTCCAAGGTAACGGGAGGCAGCATCGCTCAGAAGCACCACCTGGAGTTTGGAGATCAGCTTCTGGAGGTGCGTCAGAAGACACTCAGAGAAATACAGAGCTTATCGTTACATTGAGCACGTGTGAATCTCTCTCTCTGTCTCTCCGCAGTTTAACGGCATTAATCTCAGGAACGCCACTGAGCAGCAGGCCAGACTCATCATTGGGCAGCAGTGTGACACCATCACCATACTGGCACAGTACAACCCACACATGTACCAGCTGGGCAATCACTCCTGCTCGAGGTACAGCGCACAGTACACGTGACTCTGTCATGCTTTAGAAGCACTGTATGAGTGTCCTGACGTGTTCATTTCTGTCAGCTCCCGGATGGAGTCGTCTATAAGCTCTCACTCGACGCCCGACACGCACTCCAACATCGACACGCTCAGCGAACAGGACGAGGGCACCATGACCCCGCCCTCCAAACAGGCCACGCCCACAGCCAGCCCTCTCAGGTAACAAACACTCTGGCTCTCCTTCGCTAAGAATTGCGTGGATTACTTCATATTTATACATACTGGGGAAAATCGTGGATTTTCTGCTTGATGCCAGGGTTTCTGGTGGTCTTAAAGTCTTAATTCACCCTTCCACAAATTAAGGCCTGAAAAGGTCTTAAATCGGAGCAGAAAGTGTTAAATGCATAAAGCAATGGCATTAAATGTTGCATACATTGCAAAGAAATAAATATCTTCCTCAGTATTTTTGTTTTGTTGTCTAATACAAATATCTAAACATCCTTAAATCAAAGCTGCATTCCGTAACTTTTTTTGGTTAAAAATGATCCGAAATCAATATTTGAGCAAGTGCATAACCAGCCAGTGATCAAAACTATCGCCTTACTTTAGCCCGATTCACAACGGTTAGCTTATAATAATGTTTTCTAATTTGAGTGGTACGGGTAGGTTTTCACGGGAAATTCGAGCATGCTGCTGCGTCATTACGTCACGTCTGTAAACATAAAGGTTTAGTCCCGGCTAGTAGACTATCGCATGTGAGGATGCTGCAGGTGGCGGATCGTTAGCCTTTTCTCACAGCAGCTGGAATAATTAAACCGATCAATTTGATGGCGGATTGTAATCCAATTAGAGATTAGACTGTACAGAAATTGAAATGTACACGCTAATGCACACGTAGTCACGCAATGCTGATATTGTTAACATGAACAATTTGAGAACAAAGTATAACTAATAATAATTTGAACGGTTTGATGTGATATGAGCTAATCGATCGTTAGATTAAATCACCATTGGTAGCGCGATTTATTGTAATGCTTTTTTCCTCAGTTGGTCAGAACAAAATTGGCAGACTTGTTACTTACTTGTTCAGATGACAATATCCAGTGAAAATTCTTATTTGGGTCATATATTCCAAGACGTAGCCACACATTCAACTCAAAACATTAGATTAATCCGCGCTGGAGCCGTGCCGGCGCACAACCCACGTAATGAAAATAATTCCGCAAGTAACTGCAATTGCAGGTTTCAAACAGAGATGGCGACAAAGAGGCAAAACTTACGGACTGCAGCTTTAAATCAAGTTTTGTTTTCTGAGAAATTGAGCAAAATTAAGTGAGTTTATGCCTAAAATAATAACCAATATCTGTCACTAATAACCAAAACTTGTTTTCCCTTTGAATTAATTAGATTTTTCTGAGCCCATTGACTGAAATTTGTTCCTGTTTTAATCATAAACTCGCTTTATTTTGATCACTTTATTATCATAATTCATAAAACAAGAATTCTTCGATGTATGATTGAGTCTTAAAACATTTGCACTGGAAGACAAGACAAAAATACTGAGGATAAACATCACTTTTGTGTGGTGTAATCAAAAGGTACTTTTATTCCTTAAATTTTCTCTACTTGGTCTTAAAAGGTCTTTAAAGGTCTCAAGTTTACCTTCGCAACACCTGCAGAAACCCAGTTAAATTAAATTAAATTCAATACATAAATTAATTAATGAATAAATCAAATAATTTAACAAACTTTTCATTTCAGCTATTTGCCAAGGCAACATTTCTCATTTTAATTTAGTATAATTTGATATTACTAAAATTATTAAAAATAAAATAATAAAAATAAATTAATAAAATAAAAATGAATAAAAACTATGTAGACATAAAAAAACAGAAACTACTAAAAATGACCAAAACACACAAAAAAATTACTTAAACTTTAACTGAAATTATGAAAACCGAAATTATAAAAATAAAAAAACTGATGCAAAATATTAATAAAAACAATATCACTTCCCAGGATGTTTTTTATTTTTTTGCATATGTGTGATTTCAGCTGTTCCTACATTTATGTATAGATTGAGAATACATTTTATTACATATGTTTCTGATGAATCTCTGATCTGAATTTGTGGAAACGGTTATACTTTTGTTTTGTAATTTCTCTCTCACTGTCATCAATGTTGCATCCTGAACATGCCCACTGCTCTGATTGGTCTAACTGTGCTCTCTGCTCTGTGATTGGCCAGGGATCGGAGCAAGGGCAGGAAGCAGGCGGAGCTGAGGCTGGTGGTGCTGAGGAAGACTCAGGTGGATCTGGGGCTGAAGATCTGTGGAGGAAACCTGACAGGGGTTTTCGTGGAGGCTCTGGAAGAGGACAGTCCTGCTCGAGGAGCCGACGGCCTGCAGCCTGGAGACCTGATCCTGGAGGTACTGGTCTGGATGGTGCAGAGAGGATCAGAACCAGCCTCACGTTATCCTGTTTGACAGTGTGCTGGATGGTGTTGTAATGTCATTTCCTGTTTGCAGTGTAACTCTGTGAGTTTGAAGAATAAGACTGCTGAGGAGGTGTATCTGGAGATGCTGAAACCCACGGAGAACGTCACCCTCAGAGTCCAGTACCGACCCGAGCACTTCAGAAGGCTCAAAGACGCACTCGGAGATGGTTTTTACATCAGGTAACAGACTGAACCCTGTCTGTTTGTCAATCAGGAGCCCATCGAGAGTTTAGACTAGATTCATTATTATCTGATTGGTCGCTTGCTGCATTTTGTGGTCTAATATTTGTGTATAATAACACTAAGCTGTACAATCATTATTTTCCTTTATAGAAAGTTTATTTGTTTGCTTCATATTCCTAATGAACCTGTCTGAGCTAATTATGTGATAATCAGACTGTTTACCCTGAGCAATATATTTAATAATTCTTCTGGACATTTTAATTGACCATTAAATTTTATAAAGAGCACAACTACATTCATGGACCTCTTTAGTCTTTTGAGATCCACACGTGACGTTTTCATGTGTTAAAAAAAGTATTATTTTTATGTGTTGTTTTATTGGTGGATGAAAATTCTTTCCCTGTTTACTATTATTTATTTTGTTTGTTTGTTTAAATTTAACATATGTGTTTATGTAGTTAAATACAGACCACATATCAGTGTTATTTGAGTTTATAATAATTATATAATAGTTTTATTCATATTTTATATTTTACCATATTTATATATTTTCAGTTTTTATTTTCATTCGTTGAAGTTTTAGAATTTTGTTGTTTTTGTTTACTTTTTTATTTTTTTGAATGTCTATATACTTTTTATTTTTATTCATTTTTTAATCATTAAGGTTTTGTTTTAGTTCTCTTAGCACTTTAACTTAAACTAAATGAAAATGAGAAAGGTCTATCTGAAATAAAATAAAGTGTATATATAGATAAAGAGATATATATATCGATATACAGTATATATCTGTTTGTTTATTTTTAAATTGATCTAATTTAATAAATTATTTTTTTTTATTTCAAGTAATGATTTTTTAAAATGGTTTTAATGTTGGTTTTCAGTAACTATAATAACCCTGTCACATATAAATATTTACTGAGCACAATAGCTGTTTGGTTAAAATGAAACTGAGCAAATAGTAAATATTAAGATATATCATCATGGCCTTGCTCATTTGTCTGCATGATGCTTTTCATATTCTTACTCTCGATCTCTTTGTGTTTCAGGGCGTTGTTTGACCATGTTGGTGATTTGGAGCAGGAGTTGAGTTTCAAGAAGGATGATATTCTCTATGTGGACGACACGCTGCCCGGGGGGAATCTGGGCTACTGGTTGGCATGGCAACTGGACGAGAACGCACAGAAGCTGGTGCGCGGACACGTTCCCAGCAAGTGCATGTATGTCTATATGTGCTGTTCATGCAATCATCACTGGTGTTGTTTTACAGTTAAACATGAAAAATTCATTCTTCTAAATGAGTTTAAAATATGATGCACATAATATAGCGTTGTCAAAAATATAAATTGTTTTGATACACATCGATACTGATATATCTGAAACTGCTTCCAGTGTGAATTAAACATACATTACATGTGTTTATAGTGCTCAGTAAACACCACCCTGTTTTAAGTAAAAATAGGAAAAAGAAAATCCTTTTCTCTAAAGAAATGTGAAGTAAGCATGCAAATCGTTAAGTTTTTCTCCAGGGTATAGTCTTTTTTTCTTTTCTTAGTGGATTCATAAGAGGCTCATATTTCATATTAAAGACATGGATTGATTTTGCATACCTAATGACAAAAATTAAGAAAGTGCTGTGACATTTTTATCATAATAATATAAAAATGTATAATATAAAATTTTGTAACAATTTATAGTTATAGGCCTCCTCCATAGTTTTTCATAAAATAAAATAATAAATATATTATATTATATCTATTCTTATATTTGTTCTATTTTTATTTTATATGAAATGGTGTTATTACAATAGTAATTTTTTTGTTTAATATTTTTGCATACCTCCTGACAAAAATGTAGAAATTACTGTCACAGATTTTATCATGATAATATAGTATTTTATAATAAAACCGTTTCTAATAACTTGCATGTTAACAGGTCACCCTGTAGTTTTCCTTAAAAAAAATGAGTATTATTATTATTTGCTTTTCTAATTTTGTTAGATTTTTTAGCAGTAATAACAGTAATCATAATAATTATCATTACTCATGTTGATATATAAGCACAGAATGTTTGACCAAATTGTGCAGCCCTAAAGATTACTGTCAGAGGTAAAAATAAAAAAATGTATGCCCTTATTGTTGTGGCAGTTTTTCCCCGAGGTATTGAAAATGATACTGGATATCAAGAATTTTTAAGGTATTGTATAGAAGTCAGAAATCCCAGTATCGTGACAGCACTAATAGCATGCATGTGTTTTATAAGCTGTTGTTTGTGTGTGTGTTTGTGCGTGTGTGTGTTTGTGCGTGTGTTTGTATGTGTGTGTGCGCGTGTGTGTGTTTGTATGTGTGTGCGCGTGTGTGTGTTTGTATGTGTGTGCGCGTGTGTGTGTTTGTATGTGTGTGCGCGTGTGTGTGTTTGTATGTGTGTGCGCGTGTGTGTGTTTGTATGTGTGTGCGCGTGTGTGTGTTTGTATGTGTGTGCGCGTGTTTGTGTGTTTGTATGTGTGTGTGCGTGTGTTTGTATGCGTTTGTGTGTGTGTGCGCGTGTGTGCGTGTGTTTGTATGTGTGTGTGTTTGAATGTG